TTCTTTCTTTCTTTCTTTCTTTCTTTCTTTCTTTCTTTCTTTCTTTCTTTCTTCTTTCTTAATCTGTAAAACCAGAACCTATTCTTATCTGTCTACTTCACAGGGATTTCAGAACAGCTAAGCCAACAAATAAAGGGAAAAATTTATTGGAACTGTTTAAATGAAAGGTGCCACAAACGTCCAATAATGTTCTATAGACATCCTATACTCAATTTAAACCCCGGCTGACATACATTCATTATAACAGTGTAGGCCTCTGTGACTTCATTCTTTGCAATAACCTGAGGGTATTAAAATCTCCTGCTGATGTGACAAGTGCCCAGAATCACTGTTTATCCACACAGGAGAAATTGCACTGAGAAAATATCATACTCGAGTTTACATCAGATCCTTTCCACGCAGCCAAAGTTCAGTGTGTTCTCAAAAGACATCCTTCCTGTGAGAAAGAATTACAAAATGTGCCTCTTGTGGTAACTGTCTTATTTCAAAATACATGCTCTAGGAATTGAAGAAAATTTTAAGTGTTCCAGAATTCATGCTACACACCTGAATATAGGAAACTGAGCCTGCAAGTCATTAATAGATCAGGATTTTAAAGAGGTAAAGGACCTTAGAGGTGAACTCATCTTTTTTTGTCATCCATGAATTAATGATGAATAAAAGGAAAGCAAAGGCATTTTATTACTATGTGTGATACAGAATAAACACGTTCATTAAGAGGATTAGGAGATGTGCAGATGGTGTCTTGGTCTTTTTCCTCCCCACCCTCTCTTTTCCCTTCCCAGATCTCCTGCCCGTCTGTTTGCTTCCTTCCATCCATCTTTATTTTGCTGTTTAAGCAAAGTGTTTTTTGAAAAGCAAATATTCAACATGTTTTTATCATGAGTGAGAGACTGATTTTTTTTTACTAAAATAAAACAAACTATGTCGCCATTGGATGAGACTAATAGATCCAAGCGAGAGTCTAATTAATTTCTGTGAGATAGTGCAATCTCAGAAATTTTTAATATCCACTGAGTGGGAGGAACACATGGGAAACAGAAATACACTCGTAGATCTTGATAAGGCGAAGGAAAAGATTTTAATATTTAAATTCTGGCTATACAACTGCATTATAAGGATAAGATGAAATAGAATTCCATCCCAGGTACTGCATGCTGCTCCAGCCCCACCCCCAGGTGCGCTGAGCCAGCCATCGAGACCGGGAATGATGACACGCGCCTGTAATCTCAGTACTGAGGAGGCTGAAAACAGGAGGATTACCACGTGTGTCTGAGCTGTGTAGGGGGACCCTGTAGCAAATACATTAAAAAAAAAAAAGATGAAATAAAAGAAGACAAGACTAGCCAATGGCATCGGAGTTAGCTCCTGGTTAATCTGATTAAGTGTGTCTGTCCTTAAACTAATAAAAGCCGTGATAATTGCAGCAATGTGAAAAGCTGCTGTGTTCTCAAGCAGAGTTCGCAGTTGCTCAAAATGTCTTTATCATCATTTCAAAACTTTAGTCTTGCTTCATAGTCATCATGGGGCTCCAGTGATGTGAATTGTGGATCGTGGGCAGGAAACCTCTGCTTTTGAAATAATAATTCCGCTTAGTGTTTATAATTCCCCTCTTGCAGAAAAGTTAATGGAATTTACTCCACCTTGTGGAAATGGTGTCCAGTTAACTGACCAAAATAGTTTTGTAAAGGGTACAAGATAGTTTATTTTGATATTGTTCTGTGAAGAATGAGATGCCAGAGTAGTTGTGTTTGTATATTTGTGATAAATGCAGCTAATGCAAAAGCATCTTTTCTTCTTTAGGGTTGTTATAAAGTAGAGCGTTTTCATAATGTACTGCCTGATGGCATGGACTTGAATTTTTTACTTCCCTTGACATCAAATAATGGAAATTACACGTGTGTCGTTGCATACCCGGAGAACGGACGCATCTTTCACCTGACCCGGAGTGTGACTGTAAAGGTGGTGGGTAAGCACGACCTGCACGAGGTGCACACAACCCAAACTCCAGGACTCTCACTCTGACTCCTAGTAATTGATTATGTAGTCTGTAAACTCTATAAAAAGAGCCATCTTTTTGTGCATTGCACTATCCTCCAAGCCTTCAGCAACTCCTTGTACAAAGTACGTGTTCACAAATTATGAGCTGACTGCACACGTGTGTGAATGAACAAAACAAGGCATACAGGGGTACAGAAAGTATACCAGGCAGATTGGTGTTCAGATGACATCACTTCTGTTTGTTAGCCATTTGGCTTTGATCATGTTCTCCAATTCGCCTTATCTGTCTGGAACTAAGATTGCTTAATAATTTAGAGTATTAGAAACACTACACATCTGTGTTAATAGAGTTCCAGGCAAGCAAAGGAGATTGAATAAATAGGATATTGTTGCCTAAAAAGTGTTTTACTTCAGTTACGTATACCATATCATCCTATGTACTGAAACTGCTGCTTGTGTCGGTGGTGTTATTTGCCAGCAGTTCTCAACTGTGGTTTTGCACCAAGAGAACGAAGTGAAAAACAGAAATGGACGAGAGAGTTCCTCGATAGTTGGAACTTCCATCAAATCCAGATAGCAAGAGAAATGATGTCAGTCTATGTGGCTTTTAGGGGCAAACCATGAATTCCATCATGCCTGTCTACCCTGTTTAATACAACATGTGAATAATATTTTTCCATTCTCATGTTTGATTAAATGAAAATGGTGAGGCCCAGAAACAGCAAGTCCCCAGTTTAGCAGCATGCCCTGAGTTAGTGGAACCAGTCATTCTAAATCTTTGTGCTCTGTTCGGGGCTCTTCTACTAGATGGATACCCAATTTGGTATAAATTACAAAACAAACAAACACACAATCCAAAAAGGTTTTAACATAGTGCACATAAATTAAATTCAAGTAGTTTTATAATCATTTCTCTTCACTTTTCAAGGAATTCTGGGGGTGGTGGTTAATTCAGGACAATAAAAATACTGCATGAGTCCATGACTGAGTCTACCGTGAATAGATTTTAGCAGCCACAAGCTATTTAAGCATATACTCATCCCAGCTGTTGTTCCTAATGTACATAATTAAGTGTATCCAGTTTTGTACATTTGAGAACAGGTGTATCATAGGTATACCAGCTGACAGGCACAGCCTGGGTAAGAGGTTTTTTTGGGTTTTTTGGTCTCACTTTCAAGCAACACAAGTTAACTTTTATGACACCATGAAACATTCAATCCTTGCTGCATATCACAATTGAATGCATTAATGTGTATTAATTCATTCCTCATACTACTCTGTAAGATTGGTTTTTATGTATCCTTTTCTTCAAGTTAGGGAATGTTTGCCTTTAAATAAAACTTGGGTCCATATGATGAATATATGGCCAAGTCATGATTAAAACCTGCTGTCTGAATCTTTAAACTATGAAAAGAAACCCTAGGCTTTTTTCTTTCAATTTAGGAATACAGATGAGTATAAAAAGCAGTAATCCTATGAATGGTACCATCCGTTAGGTAACTGTTGTTCTAAAATTTCCATTTATGGGCTGGGGAGATAGCTCAGTGGCATAAGTGCCTGCCTGGCAAGCATAGGCTCCCAAGTTTGATCCTTGGTACTGTCAAAAAAAGTTTTACAGGGATACATTTAAAATTTCCATTTATGCATGCATTTCTTTAAAACTTTTAACTAGGTCTCATATCAAACAATCGGAGGATTTGGTAGGTAAATACCTCAATAATAAATCCAACAATCATGAATTATAAATTGAACATACCTATTAGCATCATACTGTGTACTAATTTGCTGTCTAAAAGGAAGAAGTATTTAGAATACAAATAATTAAGACATTAAAGCTATTAATTATACTGTACATGACATAAATGAGATGTCTGTCTCATAGAGGCTTTGGAAGTCAAGGACCTAAGTTAAACAGTCTATCCTGAAACGTGAGAGGAACTCAGTATGCTTTTTAAAAATTCCCTTATAAAGAAAACGTTTGTTTTTCTGTGCTCACAACACATGTCACCAAAAGATGTGAGTTTTCCGAACCAAGTGATCCTGCAGTCCTCTGAGGATACCACCTGTGTTTCCTACAATTTAAATCAATGTGATTCTGATCTCTTGGAGTTGGCAGAGATTCCCACAGTTCCAGGGCTCCGTCCCATAGGACTGCCCTGCTTTTCCCCTTCAGATGTCAGTTGTAAGCAGTGGGTCCCCAGGCTCCCCACGTTTCTGTCCCACCTGCTTTCAAACTGATGGATCCTACGACTTCTTCTTAAATTCTATGATTTTTTTCCTGTAGAATTTCTTGCTCACAAAATGCAAGAAGTCATTTTGCTTATATTTGCTAGTTTTCCATAAGGGCTACTACGAAGATTTCAAATGAACTCCCAGGTGAAGAGCCACATAGAGGGAGGTGTAAAAGGGTACTGAGTGATGCTGGGGGTGTCACCCGCTCGCTGGCTTCACACAAGGATGTGTTCATTCACAAACTGGGATGCTCTCCAAGCCTCGCTGCTGGAGATTATGGAGGTTGTATTATACAGACATGGTTGACTAAGTCACTGACTATTGGCTGTTCAATTTCTAGCCCTCTCTTCTCCCTGGAGCTTGGAGTTTGGGCCTGAAAGTTCCACATCTTTATATCATACCTTGCTTCTCTTTCTTGCTTCCAGTCTTCACTGTAAAACTCTTGAGGAACCAATGACTCCCACTCCTCCGATTAGCACACAGAAAGAAACTTGTCACTCCAGAGGGCCCAAGGAGCTTAGAAGCTTTAGAGCTTAAAGTGGGAACAAATACCACATAGTTAAGAGGTAACACAAGGTACTCACATTCACCATAACACTCAAGACATTAAAAAGAATTAAGAGCTTTTGGTTAAGCACCATTAATGGAGACTAAATACATACTTTCTAGGATGTTATACCTAGCTGCTTGCTTTAACTGAATGAAGGACAGTAAAGATAAATAAAACTATGGATCTGCTTAGAAATAGAAAAGCTGTGCAAAGCCATGTGATTTAACATTATCTCTTTTTTATTTTCTATATCACAGGCTCTCCAAGAGATGCATCGCCTCCCAAGATTTACTCCCCCAACGATCATGTGATCTACGAGAAAGAACCGGGTAATTATAGCTGTGCAATTGAATTTTAGTTAGATTCTCTTAATTACAAGAAGCAAAATGCCATTTAAGTTAGCAAAAGACAACAGGGAGTCATTATAAAGAAATGCATGAGTTTAAATCAAAAATGCTGAGGGCAGAAATTGAGGGAACTGTAGAGGTGAGCTACTTGGCGGTGTCATAGGCAGCCAAGTCAGGATTCTCTGCCTCTGTCTTCTCAGCATCTGTGCCTTCCTCTCCTTGTAGCAGTCTTCCTCTCCAGAGAGTGATTTCTGCTTGATGCACAGCGCTGTGCTTTGCGGAGATATGAGCAAAAGACATCTTTAAATTTCTATGCTACTAGCAAAAGTCAGGGGGTGCGTCTTGGAGACCAGACTGTGACTGTCACACAGAAAAATTGATACGGTTTTTACACCTGCGTGGAGAACACAGTTGAATGTTTCCTGTGACTGCCTCAGTCTCCCATTGGTTTTTATAATTTTTAATCTAGAGAAAAATCCTGGGTAACTCATCAGTGAGAGCTAATTAAGTTCTTCTGACTCAAAGCCTCACACAGTTAAGTGAATAGAAAAGAACAGGACATTCTAGCATTTTCTTCATTGTATCCATCATGATAAATCCAGTCCAGACACAATGAATGGCATAAAAGAGCATTTGTTTAAAGTATACTAAAAATAATATAATCTGATCAGTAAAAGCTGAGAACAACACCACCCAAAACAAAAAACACAAAACTATGCTTGCAAATATGATTTGCCTTAATTAAAAAAAAAAAACATAGAGAACACATTAGTCATATGTTAACTTCAAACCAAGTTTCTTGGAATTAGCTGTGACAATTTATAGGAATGGAACATTCTTCTCACTGTCAGGGTAATTGTTAATCTTGCTTATAAAAACATTCGTGAATTCTTCACTTTATCTTCTTCAGTGAAATATAGATAGGGGAAACTGAATTGAAAAGACTTAAAAGCCATGCATTAGGATGGGGACTAAAATGTGACCACTTAGCCAGATAAAGCTAAGTTCTAATTAAAGTGACAACATAGTTTATCATCTAAAGCTAGATACTTGTGGAGAATGAAAGCTTTCAATATTAATAGAAGTCAAAGAAGCGTGATTAAAACAGAATTGTTTTAGGCAAGCTGAGGTGGGAGATTTAGTCCCAATCTGACATAAAAGTTGCTTATCAATAATTTGTCCTAGGCAGGCCCTTTAACATTTGCAAGTTACAGCTTTTGCCTAAAATAACTCATAATGTTTTATTAAGATAAGGATATTAAGAGATGTAAATTTTGAGCACAGTTTTTGCTGAGTGTATGGCTATTGCTACTGTAGTTTTTCTCTCTCCCTCTCTCCCTCCCTCCCTCCCTCCCTCTCCTCTCTCTCAAGATAGCCTTGTCAGAAAAAAGCTAAAGATATCTTAGAATTTCTATTTTTAAGTTGTCTCTAAGTTTGCTGACAAGCTTGAGCATTTCAAGATGAGGCCTCTGTGACCAGCTCTTTCCGTGATGGTATCTTCTTTGGAAAGAACCAAAGATCTAGAGAATCATCCTGTCACCTTTTGCTTAGGAAGGAATTAAAAGAGAGGGGCGGTTCATGGAAGTTTAGCACCTAAAAGCATACGGCCTTTAAATTGGAGCTGAAGAGCAGCTTATGTTACTGTTTACATCTAGTGATTCCAGCTTTCTATGTTTTAAGTTGGAGCTGAAGAAGAGTACACAGTCAGAGTCTTTTGAACACACACTGCCTTTTTACAGCATATTTAGGTTATATTAAAATGGTCATTCTAGTAATTTTATGTAAAGTTATTGACTTTTTTTTTTTGGTTTTGTCTTTTGGTTTGCTTGGTTTGGGAATGAAATATGATGGATCACTTGTGGCAGTACACCAGAGAATTAGATCAATATAACAAATCCTGTGAAAGTTCCTAATGGGAGAGCTTCATCTGATAATTTCTTTCTGTTGTTATTTTAGGAGAGGAGCTAGTCATCCCCTGTACAGTCTACTTCAGTTTTATTAAGGACTCTCACAATGAGGTTTGGTGGACCATTGATGGAAAAAAACCTGACGACATCACTGTTGACATCACCATTAGCGAAAGGTATTATGGGGCCTCAAGGAAGTGACTAACCTTGCCTCTCCATCGAAGGCTGTTTGATATATAATCATCAATGAAAATAAAAATTTTTATCTTTTTCCATCATTCACAGAAGTTGTGAAGATTTTCAGGTCTTTAGTGTCGGTTTTCACAAACTGTAGCTGCTACACCTGCAATGCACGAGTCGTATACCACCTAATGTCTGCTAAAGAACTAGATTAGAATGTCGTATGGCTTGCCATGCCTACAGTAGTTTTCCCATTGCTTGCTATTGTCTTAAGTGGAGCAAAATCCACACATTTATGATGCTCACTTGAAAGTAAGAAGAAAGCCTGCCCGACACGAGTGGAAAGGTTCGTTGTAGGGCTGAGAATAATGAAAGTAGTTCTCGGCCTTTGCTATGGTTCTGGAGTATAAGCATATATTTGGTGCTACAGAAATTATTTATTATATATGTTTAATTACTTTACTGTATCACATTACTTTACATGTGATCACATGTTTCCTATTTTGTTCCTCCTTAAATATATAATCATTTTTAAAATGTTGACTAAATACCTTCATATTTCTAAATTTTTATCTTTCAAATAGTTGCATAATTATATCATTCACTTAAGAAATAACAATATGGGGCATTTTACTCTTAAATAAGCCTGAAGTTTTGATAAGAGAATATAAGTATTTAAAAGCACAATACTTCTCTGCAAATGAAATACACCATTACCAACTGCAACTCTTTTTTTAAAAATTTATTTATTTGGTGCAAGGTCTCGCTATGCAGCTCAGACTCATAGAGATGTTCCTCTCTCAGCCTCCCGAGCGCTGGGATTGCAGGAGTGTGACACCACAACCAGTTTTGGTGGCTGGCACGGCCTGCCCAGGGTTCAGAGCCGGCCATGCCAGTGGTACCAGAGATCAAACTCAGATCCTTTTGCTTGCTAGGCAGCTGCTTAGACTTCCAAGCTATCTCTCACCAGCCCTCACAGAAATTCTTAACACAATTAGTATCTAATCAATTGCGTGACTAAGAGATTCTCAACTCTTGAGTTTTATCACCTATGTATAGATAGAATTCAAAAGCTTGAATTTTTCTCTTAACAATAAGTTTGGAATCTGTGCATCAATTATAAAATGTTTACTTTGTATTGGATACTTAGTTCCTTAGCAGGAGGTTTTATAAGAGTAACAAGGACAGAATAGGCATTGCATTCTAATGTGGTAAGCAGTCTTGGAAATCTTAGCATAAGAAGGTTTAAGAAGATATTGAAGCAGTTTTAGGAGATTTAGTCAGTTTTATGGTTGAGTTTAGGAGCTTCTCAGAGGATCCATTATCAAAATAAGGATTTAGGTAGAAATTACTTGGACAAAGAATTGGGAAGACTTCCCCATAAGGGAAACATCACATGCAAAGGCTTAGAGGTTAGAGATGTGAAACTATAAAAAGACACAACCTTTCCGAACTTGAGTTACATTCTGCAGAAAGGACTTTGTGAAACTCTTGGCTGGAGGCTCCAAGGGAGAGTTACTGGTCATTTTAGGAATTCTCATCGTTGATTCCCCATCTCCATAGAAACAATGAATAATAAATAACAACGCAGTCACCTTCCTCCTTTCTGAGATTGGGACATGTCCTCAGTATCTGTCAGGGCGAAGCTTAGGCTGATCCAAACCACACCTTCAACCAGAATTGTAGGACTGATAGCCAGCAAACCTAACTCAACAGGACACCCGGAGGACAGCCAGGTATAGGAGCAGAGTAGTTCAAAGGGATTTTAAATCTTGATCTTAGACCCGAAGTACTTGATCTTTGCCTCCCTGATTTTGGATATATTTAGTTTCAGTTTTCCTGCTCTGAGCCATTTTTTTTCTTTATAGCATTAGGATTGAACCATGACCAACATATTCTGTGTTCAGCATCCAAGCTTCCAGACTCCCCCAAGTGCAACCGCTGCTCCTGTGAGATGATGTGACAGCCTGCATCACTATTTGTTAAGCTTTGTTCTTCTGAGTATCCGTACACATACTCAGGGCTCAGCATTCTTGGGTAAATTAATACACCCAGTGCACTGGGTAGCTATTAGGACTTTCCTCTTTTACAAAACACAAAACATGCAAACAGGGCTGGGGAGACAGCTCAGTAGAATAAGCGCTTGCACAGCAAGCACCAGGTCCTGAGTTCAATCCCCAGTACCAGAACAAAAAAACAAAACAAAACAAAACAAAAAAAAAAAACCAAACATGCAAACATTAGTTACTTTACTCAAAATATGTAGCAGGAAATGGGAAAACCTGCCACAGAACCCAAGGAATCTAATCACTAAAGGAAGAGAGCATCCTGCATCAGAAGTTTGAGCGAAAGAGACATTTTACTTTGCGGAGAGGGTCATAGCAAGAAGCTAGCATTAGGATTCGCTGTCGTTATTGGGATGGTGTACGGTGTAGATGGTGAGCTGTAGTGTCAATATCTAACTGTTCGCTGTTACACACATCGTATTTCAGGCAACACTGTCTGCAAACATTCTTTCTGCCCTCATGTGGGGGTTCTGTGGCTGCCTCCTTATATGATTCAGCTCTTGTGTTCACAGATGCTTTGATTTTTTTCTTTCCCCTTTCTCTAGTATAATTTATTCAAACACAGAAGATGAAACAAGAACCCAGGCTTTGAGCATCAAGAAAGTTACCCCCGAGGATCTCAGGCGCAACTACGTCTGTCATGCTAGAAATGCCAAAGGGGAGGTTGACAGAGCAGCCGTGGTGAAACAGAAAGGTAAAGCATGCTCGCGGCGGCCGAGTCTGTGAACTGCCCGTGTAACGTAGTGGTGGGTAGAAGAGCAGAGGACCAAGAGGGAGAGCGCTGCTGCCCTGGCGCAGCGTCTGACGTGTAGCCGTGAGGCAAAGCAGAGCGAAAACTTGTGGGCGGAGGTGCCCATCGGCGTGAAGATAAATGCTGCTCAAATCATGGTAGTATTTTAGTGCCCAAATGTTGCTGAATAATTCATATGATCATAATAATGAAGCATGATTTTTTACCTGATACAGTCATGAAAAGGAAAAAGAAAATATTCAGAACTATGAAGAACGTACTAAAAGGAATAGCCACCTGTCATTCGTAAGGTGTGAAGACATTTTTAAAACTGATTAATGACAGAATTCAAGAGTCACAAAAATAATCTCATAATCTGACCTAATTTTTACAGGATTTTCCCAAATAACCAATAATTATGCACCCATTGTATCCTTAAAGAGTTATTCATAATAGTAAGATGCAAATAGCAATTGTTGAATTGTATAGAAGTAAGGTATAGAATGCTAGTTCTCAAAAATATGTAAGTTTTAAAGCATCACTTTAGATGCCCTGTATCAATATTTAAGTAGTTTTGTAATGTATTTGCAGCTATAATTGCTAAAATGGCAATTAAATAAGATTTTAAATATTGCAGAACTGATTTCTATGTTAATATGACTTTTTATACAATAAATAAAATTTGTGAAGCCTGTTGTGCGAGCTGTTGTGCAGCTGTTGCCCCAAAGCAGACTGGCGAAAGAGTTTTCTGGGTCTCTCCCCTGACACGGAATCCCAGGCAATGCACCCCTTCCAGGAAGATGTTTCCATTTTCTGGGGGGAAAAAAAAAAAAGAAGTCATGATGTCATCACATGTGCGATCAGGTCATTCAGAATCATCCTGGATCCTAGAACTTAAAATGTTTATATCAAAACTAAAAGACTAAACAAAACAAAAAAAACAAAAACAAAAACAAAAACAAAAACAAAAAAGCTAGTTTATACTGGTCACATTTTGCACTGGGACTGAAGGATTTTCTTTTTAAAGCCAGTGAGCCAGCAGATACATTGGAATGTTTTATTACCAGTGAGAAAGAAATGAGTAAGGCCGGCAGTGTGGATGCCTCAGAAGTCTTGGTTGGCAAGATGAGGATGAGCCATTGCTCCCACCCCTCAGGGACCGCTCTCAAGCCTGATTGATGCACATGGTACATTAGTGTCAATGCCCAGCGTCAACTCCTCAGGCCTCCCTGGGAATGATTATGGGCCCATCCTGCATCTGCTGAACTTTAAAGTCCAAAGAGCCTGTTGAAATTCTGGTTTCTGTGGATCCGAACTCTGTGAAGTCACACAATCTCTCCTAGCATTTAAAGTGGACACAATAATACCAACACCACATTGGGTCGTTTTAAAGTACTCGAAATATATCGTGTATCATAATTTATACTAAATATTCAGGGCTGGTGAGATGGCTCAGTGGTCTAAAGCACCTACTTAGAACAAGCTTAGCAAAGCACAGGGACCGCGGTTCAATCCCCCAGCACCACGTGCCAGCCAGCCCCGCCCCCTGGTGGGCTGAGCTGGCCACACACACACACACACACACACACACAAACAAATAAATTAAAAAAAAATATTCAATGAGTGTTACCTCATTATGATTTCCACAAGGTTTTGATAGATGTTATTTGACAGAGGGTTTTATAATCAAATATGATTATAGGTTTAACAAAATCAATCAGATTTCTTTCTCTCAGGAACCCTTAGGGTCTTTAATATGTCAGCTAGCATTTGATATGGATATCCACGGGGTTTATGACAGAAGCGTGTTTCAAATATATTTCACTTGTAGTTTCTTACGGATGAAACATTATGTGGGACGCTTCTTCTGAGGCTTGTACTCTGGGAGGCAATTATGGGAAAATGATATAAATTATTAATGTCTTATCAAAATAAAAATTGAAACAACCAAGTAAAATATTTTATGTAGGGGCGATGCACGAGTCTGCCCCCAACCCATTTGAGTAGCTCTTCTGGTACAGAACTCCCTGCTTTGAGTGTATTGTGGACAATGTTAGGTACAGGAAGTATGGTTCCAGGAAGTCAGAGGAGTTGTGCTGAGAGTCAGACCTTCTTAGGTCCAGTGGTCCCAGAGAGATTGTCTTTGTTTACTCAGCCTCTGGTTTGGGCCAGCTAAAGCTGAAATTCAGAGGGGGAATCCGAGCTACCTTCCTTCTTTATAGATATAAACATTTCCTGAGTTCATTCAGAAAGCGTTCTTAGTACTACATCAAAAATAAAAAGGGAAGAGACTAGGATACAGAATAAGAGAAATATACCAGATGGACTTTTATTGACAGCATGGTTTCATCTAGCCAGCTAGAACAAAAGATAAAAGAAGAGAAAGTTAGTGTAAGCATGTTAAATGTGCGGTCATTTTACAACACGATAATGAGAAGGATTAAGGGAAGGTGGATGTTTCACTTTGAGAATCTGCCAAGCCCGTTTTCCAGGAGGCTATATCCTTTCACACAGCCTGTCAGAATGCGCTCAAATTTCAGATGCTGTGCTTCCTTGCCAACTTTTGGAGTTATCAAATGTTGAAATTTTAGCCGTACTCATAGATGAATAGTGGTATCACACTATTCGTGAATTTTCATTTCTCAGACACTAATGCTATTGAGCACTTTCTCGTAAATTTATCAATCACCAATTAATCCTTTTTGTAAAACATTCATGAAGGCTTTAGTCCATTTTGGGTCATTTGTTTTTAATTTAATGGATAATCAGCCACACACATGTTTAATATAAATCTTTTTCAAATGTATAATTTTATCCAGTTTGGGAATCCATTTTTTGATAAAGATTTTCAAAAAAATTCTGAAATTATTTTATCAATTTTTTATGTATATCAGTTTTGTTTAGTTGTTTTCTAAGCCCTATGTTAGCAGCTTTAACATTAGGTTAAAAATATCTTACAGTTTCTTCTGAAAGATTAGTATTTTTGTGACCCTTTTGAAAATATTTATTTTTTTTAATTTTTTTATTTTTTTATTTTTTTTGGCAGAACCAGGGGTTGAACTCAGGCCCTTGCACTTGCCAGGGAAGTGCTTATTCCACTAAGCCATCTCCCCAGCCCTGAAAATATTTGTTTTTATTTATATTTTATATCTTATGTACTGTAAGATATAAAGAATTTTGCCTTGAAAAATCATTCCATTTTTGTTGAACTATTTTGAAAACTTGTCCAAAAATTCAATAGACCCTGAGATTGGGTCTCTTTCTGCATTTCCTACTGTGTTCTGTGAATCCTTTGGCCTACCAGTGTCGTTCTATTTGAATTTGCATGACTTCCAAGAAAGTCATGAAATCAGATACTACACACACCCTGCCTTCCTCCCCCAGGTTATTTGACGGTTTCAGGAGATGCATATTTTTACAGCTTGTTACCTGACACATATTCTGGAACTGGGATTCTGACTCTATTAAAATATAAACCAATTTGGGGAGAATTGAAATCTTAAAACCATTGCTTTCCAGTCCATGAACATGATATAGTTCTCCATTTATTTGTGTCTTTATTAATGTTTTAATCAATAGCTTTTCCTATTTTCCCTTTTTTTTCTTAGATTTGAGAGCACAAGCCTTGCATATAGATTATTAAATTTATCCTGAAACATTTTGGGTTTTTGATGCTATTTTAGCAGCAATCTTTAAAGTTTCAGCTTCAGATGATTCCTTGATAAATTGTGCAAGAGCCATTAATTGATTTTTATGCACTGAGCTGGATCTTTTGACCTTGTAGATTGACTACCAAAATGGTAGCCCCTTTGTTTGTTTCATTTGCTTAGGATTTGGGTTGTCTAGGATTTTCTGCATCCATGATCTTTTTACCCCTAAAAAGATAGATTTTAATTTCCTTTCTCAGCATGATATCTTTGATTACTTTGAATTCTACTTCTTTGGGGTCCTCCAATGCAGTGGTCAGTAGAAGTCACAAGAGTGAGTCACCTTCGTGGTATCCCCAACTTGAGGACAAGTATTCACACCGTATCACGTTATTCAATAGCTTCTATCTGCATGGGTGATTAAGTTTCTAAAAAAAAATGTTTCAATGAGGGTGTTGAATTTTGTTGCATTTTTATCTTCATCTATTGAGTGGCTCTTGGGAGTGTTTTTCCTCTTTATAATCTGTCCGTATGATGATTTGCAGTGACTGACTTTGAAAAGTTCATCCAGTTTTGCCTTCTTGGAATATACCTCCACATCAGCATGTCTTGTCTTTTTAATGTATTGCTTGACTCATTTTGCTCATGTTTTGTCAAAGATTTGTGCTCATGTTAAGGTTTTGGTACATCTCAGTGTTCATGAAAGGCACTGGCTTCTTATGGTGACTTTGACTCCTGTCACTAACGAGGGGGGACATGAGGTGGATAATGATCCCCCCTTCTGAATACCTATGTGTAAAATCGTTATTATTGTAAGATCGATTTTTCAAAATTACCTATTAATTCTCTGGGCCTAGTGTTTTAAAAGAAAGCTTTCAGTTTTAAGTTTAGTTTCTTTAGAAGTCATTCCAGTTGTCTGTTCTTGTGGCAGTTTTGAGAATTATTCTTTCCAGGAATTGTTTTATAAATTCATCTGCGTATTCACATTATTCGCATGCCTCTCTTGTTACCTCATTTCTTATTATCATTTTATGCCTGTAGAATTTTCATGGAGGTTTCACTGTCATTACTGATATTTGTAATTGGTGCTTTCATTTTCTGTACTGTATTATTTATAGTCCCAATTTCACCTTTTTCAGAGATTATATTGTTTTGTTGCTAAGATAGACTGTACTTAATTAGCTTTACTCTTATTTTTATTATATTCTTTTTGCTGACTTTGCATTTCATTTGCTTTTTCCATCGTAAAATGAAAGCAAATGTTATTGAGTTTAAGTAATTCTTCTTTTCCAATGTAAGTATTCATAACTATGAATT